CATCCCCTGTAAAAGGGTCGTTTGACCCCCCCAAAGGGGTCAAGACCTACAGGTTGAGAATTGCTGCTCTAGCTTTGTTAACTTGACAAAGAACACAGCTAGGACATATGGCTATGAAAGCATCTAGATTAATTATTTGTAGGTATACTGGGATGAAACTAAAGAAATTAAACTTACAGGTGAAAGTCACAATTTTAAAACTGGGTCTACTTTAATGTTGCAGAAAATTAAACTTAGGGTTAGCCTATTATCTTAAAAAAAAAAAGTGTAAGTTGTGTTATCCTCCTCACCCAGGAGATTTTTCTTTAGGCCACTAGATGGCAAAATTTGAGAAGCAGCTGATGCCTAGCAATGGATGACCTTCCCTCTGGAAAGTACAAAGTGAGGAAATAAGAGAAAGAGAGAATGCTGTTAAGACTTGAAGCTGCCCAGCCCTCCTTTCTGAAAGGCAGAACAGTCAGGGTGGATGTCCAGTTCAGGAGACCTGTTCTCACCCAACCTTCTCCTAACTCATGCAGAGAAATCACTTTCCTGTCGGGACCTACATTTCTCTGTCTGGCAGATTTGCTTGGAATGCATCCTTTCTTTCTCTTTCTCTGGAACCAGGACAGCTACTGTGGGTTCTGTGCAGGCCAAGGGATACAGATGTTCAGCACGGGGCAGAACGCTGTGCACAGTGCTCGGTCTGAGAGGTCAGCTAAGCAAAAGACGCCCCTGCTCCGTTTCCTGACTCTGCTGTGCTCTCCCGGCATAAGCTATGATTAAACGTCCTCTGAATTTGTCCTAGTTCCCTAAAACTGACTCAGCCACATTTACCACCTGCCTCCTCTGAAGAGAGTTTACAGGGTTAATGAGATAATGCTGCCAAAGGCCAGATCTTTTAATGAAAGCTGCTAATTACAAGGGAAGCATCAGTGGGTGTGCACATAGCTAAAGCCTGACCTTGCAACTGTGTCAAAATGCTCCAGAAGCAGGTGACATCATTGCCCTAGGTAAGAGCTTCTTCTTCTTCTCTTCTCTCTCCCTCTCTCCCTCTCTCCCCCCCTCAAGTAAAACTGATTAAGAGACAAAAATCAGCTGCTCGTCTATGAAAATGGCAACAAGTTCTTTTCATTGTTAAGAAAAATTGTGCAGAAGTGGAAACACAACTATATTGAGGACAGAAGATAGAAGAGGAGAGTTTACACGTGACAGGATGGCTGAGAAGATGCTGAAACATTTAGAGAAGACAGTGACAGAAGCTGACATCCTACACATTTTTTATTTTAAACAGGACAGTCTTGCGTCTAGCCTGTGGAGTATGATGCAGTTTAGAGGCTGCTATTTGTTGAAGCTGCTTTATTTCTGCTAAAGACAGAGCATGCTCTCACAGTGGGAAAATAGAGTGAAGCTCTGTTTTTTTTTTCCTTCCTTCTGTTTCTTTTTTCTTTCTTTCCTTCCTCCTTTCTTTCTTTTTCACTCTTGGAATAACATTTCCTACCAGTTCTCTCTAATCTAGTACATTAAAATGGTTCTTGTTTAATGTCACTACCAGGTAGGAATGCAGCCCGGATCCTCATGAAAGGGGCTGAGAGAGCCTGGCATCTGAGGAGCATTCCCATGCCCCTCCCTGTTAGAGAAAAACTCTCTTCCCAAAGGCCTTAAATGAAAGCTTCTTTTCATTTCTTCTCCCTCCTTCCTCCCCTTCTTCCTTTTTAACCCCCTCCCCATTTTTCAACTAATATTTAGTTTTGCCAAGTTCTGGCTTAGGCCCCTAAGCATGAGCTACCAGACATGCACCAGAGTTCCTACTGGAATTGTTATTTTGGGTTTTGCCTTTGTAATCTTCCTGTAGTCAGTAGCACAGAGACAACATTCCCCAGACCAGAGCACATGCAACAAGACCATTCCATGCTGGGCTTTCATCATTGTAGCCACCTCCAAGAATAACTTTCATAAATTATTTGATAGGGCTTCTTTGGAGTCTAATTTTGATTAGGAAAAGCTATTTCTTTCTGTTTTGAGGCAGCATCTCCTTCTGTAGCTCAAGCTAGCTTTGGTTTCTGTGTAGCTTAGACTGGCCTTAAATCTCAACCTCCCAAATGCTGGGATACAGTTTACGTCATTACACCTCGCTCAAAGGTCTTACATGGATTTATTTTTCCTACTAGAGAAGACTAGTTTCCTTTTGATTTTCTGATTCAGATGAATAGGTGGGAGCCGCGCCTTAGGTTCACAGAGCTAAGAATAACACCCAGAGAAAATGGAAGGGCCCTGTGCTACTGCACTGCTCAGACTGGAGCTCACTTAAGCCAACAACCAGTATTCCCCAGGATCCCCGGTATCTCCAGGTATCCGGTATCCCTCAGTATTCCCCAGGATCCCCGGTATCTCCAGGTATCCGTATCCCTCAGCATTCCCCAGGATCCCTCAAGTATTGAGCACAGATCAGATAAGTTCCAATACTTCAGTGTATAACAGTGCATAATCTCTGATTCTCAAAAGCAGTTTACACAAACCTCCATTCCCAACTGGGTATTGCTCTTAACAGATTTTTAAAATTAATCTACTAAACATGTTCTTTTAAACTTGAGTACGTTACATTATTTAAATAAAAATATGTAGATCATATGAACAGATCCATAATAAATTAAAATGTCTACTTTTCCACTAGTATGTCTTTAAAGTGGAGACCTAATCAGCCTTTAGAATTGTTTTCTTCTTCAGACATCAAGCCTAACAAACAATTTTAAATACAAGAGATTTTATTCCCCATATTTTTTTTTTGGTTTGGTTGGTGTTTTGGTTTTTTATTTTGTTTTATTTATTTTTATTTTTTACTTTCCATATTAAATGACTTTGCAAATTATCAGTCAATCTTAATAATCTGGAAACTTGGTTTCCTCTAGGAATATTTTATATTTAGTTTTATGTGCACATATAAGACAATGAGATGAATTCAGATCAAGGTCAAGTGAAGTCATACCCAAAACAATCAGAATCATCATTACTGCAATACAGTGACATTATTCAAAAGAACTGGGAAGCTACCACCAGGACTACAATAAACAAGGCCACATATGTTAGTATAATAATTACAGTATTCAATTTACATTAAAATGACAAGTATTTTTATAGTATATCCCTCTCCAGACATACATAATTTGTTTAGTGAAAAGTTATTTTATTTATAAAACTTCTGCTTTCAAGGTCTGGGGAGACACTCGGCTGACCAAGTGCCTGCTATGCAAGCATAAGGAGCTGAATTGGGTCGCCAGTGTCCACACAAACCAGCAGGGGTGACAGCATGTGAAAAGGCAGATGTGATAGCACGCCTCCCAGATGCCGCAGAGGATGAGACTGGCAGCTCCCTGGAGCTCCCTGGCCAGGGCACCTGGCTACATGGAGGCACTCCCTGCTAATGAGGGGTCCCCATCTCAGCCTGAAGAATGACATCCGGGGTTGACCTCTGGACTCTATGCACGTGCACCCACACATACATGTGCTCCCACATGCAAATGAACACACACAACACAGCTGCAGGATGTTGCTTATATTCTTCCAATACACATGGAAAGGGACTTCTTTTCTGTTCTTTGTAACCTGTTTAATGGCGTGTTAAATTCAATGTGCTGAAGTTGGAAGACAGCTGGGTTCTAGTCTCAGGTTCATGATTCATTAGCCAATAATAATAATAATAATAATAATAATAATAATAATAATAATAATGTGGAACCAAATTTCATTTGGATTATGGTTTTGAAAGTTTATTTTTTCACAAGATTACTCATTTCCATCATATTCTTTCTAGAACTTTTATTTGAAAAATGGCAACCATCAACTCCAGTTCTGCCTTCTCAGAGGGATGCTCTCAGACTGAAGGACCAAAGGAAGTGCCCACAATCAGAAGCATAGAGCCAGTGCCGTGTGGCAGTTATTCATGTGAAGAGTCAGTTCTGTCGTGTAGGTAAATATCAGGGCTCAGTAGAAAAGAGGAGGAAACCGGCTTAGTAGGTCTGTTGTGTGAACTGGATTCGGCAGCATACCAAGACCTCCTACGTATCTTGTGTCCTCAAGGACTTACTAGCTAACGACATACCAACACTAGCCTGATAACCACAGGTGTGAGATGAAAGGACGCTAGCTAAGATGTGTTATTCTAAGAAACATAAGCTATTCCAAGCTGTCTTCCGCACATCGGAACCGCGAGCGAGGCTCTAGCACGCGCGGCACATCGTTTGCGTCACATAGCACGTAAACCACAGGAAGCTTTACTTTGTCTCCGAGACATAACACTCCAGCCATAACCTCTGACACTGGTAAACGCTACTCCCTTCCACACCGGGCACTGGTTTGGGGAACAGCTGCTGTAAGGTTGCCCATAACACTCTATCTGCCTTCACAAAGCACTTGTCAATGATTTGTTTTGTGTAAAAGAAGCAAAGGAAATACAACCAATGGACAGAATCCCCAATGGAATGAAATCAACAGCCAAAGCCCACGGCTGGGAAGCAGAGAACAGCCTGCAAAAACTTCCGTAGAAACCAGGAACTGACAAAAGATAAGGGGGAGGGGGGAGAGGGAGGAGAGGGAGAGGGAGGAGAAGAAGAAGGAGGAGGAGAAGGAGGAAGAGGAGGAGGAGGAGGAGGAGGAGGAGGAGGAGGAGGAGGAGGAGGAGGAGAAGAAGAAGAAGAAGAAGAAGAAGAAGAAGAAGAAGAAGCAGCAGCTTTTCAATTATAATCCTCTCTCAGTACCTAACAGCACATGTACATGTAACCTATCTTGTTGGCACCAAAAACCACCAAGCTCAGAAAGAAGTCAAGTTGTTTTGTTATTGAGACAGAATCTCACAAACTTACCTTCCGCTGGCCTGGAACTTACTTACTTCGCCCAGACAGATCTGGAACTCACAATCTTCTTGCCTCCACCTCCCAAACGGTCAGACTCTAGGGACTGCAGCTGCGGATCCTCGTGCTTGCCATGTTCTCAAGACATATTGGCAGAACCAGAAAGGGATTTACCTGGGCAATTATGTCTATGATTTCCGAATAACTGTGGCATCTTCTCACACAGGATCGGGCCAAAAAATCTTCCACCAGTCGTGTTCCAATACCGTAACCCCTGTGGATGAAGGAAAGTATGATTTGCATCGTAGATAACAAACTTAACCCAAGGTAACAGGCCAAATTGTCTTAGGTAATGTGTTTTGTGTGTGTTCCACAGGCCACAGGCACAGAGGTCAGCATAGCTAGGAGATATTACTTAGTCTCTGCAAGGAGAGGAGTCTGACTGGAGTTGAGACTGACCCAAACTTGACTGTAAATTCAAAGAAGGGTGGTTGCCCCAGCCTAATATTTCTCATTATCAGCTGTTGTGAAACAAAAGAAAGATGGTTGCTAACTTTTCTGCTGTAGGGGTGGCACCTGGATACTCGGGGCTTTCTTAGTAGACATGCCACAGCAGGGGAGCAGCTTTACAGGAGGGCTGTGTAGAAAGTGGGGAAGGAACAGAGGAATATTCTTTCGCTGTCAGTGAAAGTTTCAGCATTTCAGTTTCTTAAGTTTATCAGCCTCCTCTTTCTACCTTTCTCTCTCTCCCCTCCTCACCTGTGTGTGTGTGTCTGTGTGTGTCTGTGTGTGTCTGTGTGTGTGCGCACATGCACGTGTGTAGGGGTGGGCAAGCAACTTCAGAAGACTCATGTTCAGTCTGTAGAAACTGGAGTGATGGGTCCAGGGAAGGTACTTAGCTACCTACTAACTCCTCTCAAGCAACTACTTGTAGCAGTAGTTGAAGTGCGATTGAACAAGTCCTTTACAGAGATGGCATAACATAACTGAGTAGTGGCTAAGATGGTCCAGCAGCCTCCTTGAACAAGATGGCCTGAGAAACTTTAAATTTCTAAGGAGGACACAAGAGATGCCAGAGTCTCTGTCTTATAAGAGCTTCTAATCCAGTTACAGAAATAAGACCTTAAACTAGAAGCAAAAGGGAACATTATTTTTCCTAACCACCAGTCAGAAAATGGTCTTTCCTTTCACAGCCATATATAAATAGACCAGGGAAACCATTTGGATACAACACCAGAAAACCCAAGAGAATCAGCGCAGGAGCTTTCCAAGGCAATGTTTGTTCCTGGAACCTGAAGTGGAAAGATCTCTGGTAGTTTGGTAATTATGGGGAAATGGTTCTGAGGTCAGAGTCCTTAATAATTCACCAAATCTACTGAGATATTCTGTTTATTAAGAGCATGGCATCTGTGCAGGAGAGAGAGATGGCTCAGCTGTTCAAGGCTACACCAAAAAGATAAGAGCAGGACATTTTCTCCAAAAGACAGCTGAGTAGGGGCCTTACAAGAGTCTAATATTTGAGATATATATATATATGTGTGTGTGTGTGTGTGTGTGTGTGTGTGCACGCGCACGCGCGCATGCTCAGTCACAGGTGACAGGGATGAGAAGAATGTAACGAGCAGCATGTATACTGTACATATGTAGTATATTTAACAATCAGTGAACTATGTATTCAGTGAGAGAGCTTGTCTTTAAAAAAAGAGAATTGGCAAGATAGCTTAGTAGGTAGAGGTGCTAGTGCACAGGGATCCTGACCTGTGTTTGGCTCCCAGAGCCCATAAAGTGGAAGAGTTGAAACAATTCCCCAGAATTGTTCTCTGACCTCCAAGTTATTACTGTGTCAGGTACACACACACGCGCGCGCGTGCGCGTGCGCGCACACACACACACACACACAAATCTAAATAAGTAAATTCAAAAACAAGTTTTAAGGACTGTACCCCGTGTGACTGGCTAAAACTATTCCTGAAAGCCATGAGTTATTAAACAAAAAGTAGCCAAGGCTGGGCTACCTCCCTGTGAGTCATCGAGGTCCTTGAAGTCCTAAAGCAATACAAGCAATTGCTGTTGGATTTTCACCAAAACTAAGATATCCTAGTCAGGAATTATTGGTGAAAATCTTAGTTGCAAGATAAATCAAGCTTGAACTGGGAGAAAGGCTTCCTCCTCACCGGCCACCCTTACAGAAGTAGTTGCTATGGAGGCAGCTGAGGGAATTGTCATTAGCAGTCTCCCTCAGCCGTGGGTCCTGTGTGCAACCCTGACCAGCCAGGAAACACTGGTGCATCAAGGGCACATCTGTTATGTGGTAACCACTTTCTGAGTGGGTTTGAAAAAGACAATCCCCTTCCAATCAAGTTCCTCATACATCCGTCTTCCTGCCAGGCGACTACTCTTAGTTTTTCATTTGCTTGTTTATTGCATAGGCCCCAGTAGGTGGTCCACACTTATGAAGGCAAACATTTTCATAGTAAAGAATTGTGAAGATTCTCCATGCGAAGGAAATCATGTGTAGGACTGTACACCCGTTCAAAAGTCTGTGGCTGGAGAGGTCCTAGACCCTGGTATGGAAACTACTGTCGTTGCTTTGCTAAGTGGCGTGATGCACACATCAAACTGCTTTATAAATGATCATGCTTGTAGCTATAAAATGGTGTTGCTGCCAGCTTTGATAAGAGAAGCTTTTTTTAAGTTGTCAGCAGTGACTTGTTCATACTCAAAATACTGAAAACAAATAAGTAACTATTGAATGTCCACCCAGAAATGGAGCCTCCATATCACTCCTTTCAAGGCTTAGAGAACATTGACAATGAAGATGCAGAAAGACGGTAAGAGCTGGAGGGATGGGGAGGGGTATGGAATGCTGACATCCGGGCATGGGCTGACTGCTGCACTCCCAGCAGCTGTAACTACCCACACACGATTTCTACAAAAGTGGGCCAATCAACAGTCTGTTACGGTAGGAGAGAGGTTCCTGGGCTCCTTTCCCTCTGTTTTGATGCAGGAAATGGTTGTTGGAGGAGGGAGGGACATTTTGTTCAGTGGTGCAGCCACTGATAAGGTGCCCATTCTCCTGTAAACAACCCCACTGAAACTCGCCGGGTATAAAAAAATACATGAAAGAAGCAGTGCGGCTAGGTGAGGAAGGGGATTAGAGGGGACAAGAGGGAGTAAGAGAGGATAAAGGAGTGAATGTGATCAGAATACATTGAAAACATGTATGAAAGCGACACAGTAAGATCTGTTATGATTGTAATAAATGCATGCTCATAAAACACTCAAAAAAGAAAAAGTTAAAAATGACAAGATTGCAATAATTTGGTGATCATATAATTACAAATATAGAAGGTTGAATATAAACTGGAGGAATTTTCACTAGCAAAATAAAAAAAGGGAAATGGGTTTTATTTAAAAAGAAAAGATTGAAAAAAACAAAAAAACAAAAAAGAAAAGATTTTTTTTATATTAGAAATCTTTCTTTTTAAACAAGCAATGAAAGTACTATATAAGAAAAAGACAATCCCCTTTCAATAGAGTTCGTCATACATCTGTCTTCTTGTTGGGCGAAAACTCTTAGCTTTTTGTTTGCTTATTTATTGCATAGGCCCCAATAGGAGGCCCACGCTTATGAAAGCAAACATTTTCATTGTAAGGAATTGTGAAAACTCAAAATCAAACTGGATATTCCATCATCTTACTAAAAGTACACTTCTGTTCCATCACATCAGCTGCTTACATGTAACTAATAAAGAGGTCATTTCCAACCTGGAAAAAGAGAATTCAATATTTGATAGAAATAGAGAAAAATTCCTCCCTATTATTTTAAATTGAGCTGTAAGAAATTATGTTCTACTTTCACGTGTGGTGTGTTGCAGCCAAGGAGGAGCTGGGGAGGTGGAGCAAGGCATGAGGAGCCGGAAAACTCAGGTGACATTAGCAAGCAGTAGATCTTCTACAGCAAAGAGACATCTACTTACATTCTATCTAAGTATCTGTTCACATCTTCATCTTTTTCATAATCCTTGCATAGCTGGGCAACCAGGGCTCCGTAGGTGAGTACGAAAAGGTCTTTGTTCTGCAGAGAAAATGTGCATGGGTTTATTATAGACAGTTCTGACAGTAGATCACTATATTATTTATTTTAGTCTATGGGTTGAAATCACACCCAGAGATCATTTCTTCACCTTTCCCACTCCCCCAGGACTACAGCAATTGCACTCTTGAGTCATCTCTTGCACTTATTTGCACACACAGTTAGACTGGGAGAAGAGCTGAGTGATCTAGGTTCTGACATGAGAACATCTTCAGACGGATTAGTGTCTGTTGCGTACCTTGATGCGTATTTTCGTGGAGAAATGGAAAAAGGGTTTTTTTCATTTTAACTACTAACTTCTAATACAATTATTATTACTCTGGAATGCCTTGTTCTTTACATTGCCTGTTCTCAGCTGGAAGGAATAACTGGTGGGGCTAATTGTGAGTACATGTAGCCTCTTCTGAGTCCCAGATCTGCCAGGGGTTTTGGGAATGATCCCAGCCACAGCAGCAAGCTGGCAGGAATTGCTGTTTGCAATATGCTTAGAGAAAAGAGGAGATTTTTAGAGAACCCAAATATAAATGTTACCGCCTCTGTTTTAAAAAATAGAACTTCAAATTATGTTTTAGAGCAAATGACAAGCAAAACTGAAAACTGAGGTCCAGTCAGGCTTCATTTAGTATAGAGAGGATGAAAATGAAAGCAGGAAACAACGTTTGGCCAAGTTTTGATTTGAAAAAGTCTATCTTGTTCCTGCCAAGAAGCGCTGCTTCTGAAAGGGAAGGAGACCTGTGGAGAACGGATTCTACACTGTCCACCCTACAGAGCCAAAGGAGGACCCAAAGAACGCAGATACTTGCCCAGCCATCTGAAGCCAGAAGGCCACTCCAACTCCACAGCATTAATCACTGAGGAACTTACGTGGAGGGGGCAGAGGACAATGGAAGAGGGAAGGGGAACACTAATGAAAAGTAAGCGCCTTTCACAGAGGACTAGATTTCCAGGAGAGGTCACTGTGGATTTCAGGCTAGGAGAGTCATCCTTCCCTCTCCCATCAAGTGACTTCATATGTACGGGAGCAGAGGCCTGATAATGGATGGGTTTATATTTTAAAGATGGATGTGAATGTCTTCTTAAAAAGCAGTAAAATTATTTACTCAACCAAATAGCTTCTGTAAAATACCATGAATTTTGATGAAAATGATTTCATAGTTAACCCAGTGCCTCAGTGTCCCCACTGGGGGACATTTGAATGAGATGTGTGGGCTTATATTATGACAAACATGCCTCATTGCCAAGTGGATATATTTATTATTGATACATTTTAAAAGAAAAGAATCTAAATATTGGTACATCTGTGCCAATTTATGTGAAAACTAGAAACAAAATGGCATAAGTATATGTAGAATAGACATTATAAACTAATTTATATTGCATGTTAATTGGTATTATAACAATGCATGCAATTCAGATCTAGAAAAATAATATGTTAATACTTTTTTTTCCAGGAAATAAGGGATGTAAGCATGAGATTCGAACAAAAATAATGTGAACCTAATACTGAGGGTCACAATTGTTCAGTTTTATTCCTGTTTTTGTGATATAAACTTTCCAAGAGGCTCAGCGCAGAACACACCAAATACCAATGTATTGTACAAAATGCTTCTGCCTAATATAGAAGCCACAACAGCAAACTAAACATTGCTGTAGCAGAGACATAAGCAAAAGATAATGGACAGGGTAATAGGGGTAGGAAGGAGAGGAAAAGGGGGAGAGAGAGAGAGGAAAGAGGGGAAGGAGAGGGAAGAGGGAAAAAGCGAGAGGGAGAGGAAGAGAGAGGAAGACAAGGAATGTGTCACTACTCTACACAAAGAATTTGTACAGAGAAGAGAGAAGAAATTGTGCCTTGCCTGTCTGTCACAGCCTGGGCATGCTTTGGAGTCTCAGCTCTCTCTCTCTCGCTCTCGCTTTCTCTCTCTCTCCACCACCTGCCATGGGATATACTAATACGTCCTGAAACATGTTAAGTTCCTCCTGGGTTCAAATACACACTGTCCATAAAGGTCCATTTCTGCATCCTGCTTCACGACCAGAGGTTATACTGTGAACGGCATATCTAGCGTTCTCTGTAGGTCTACAAAGTCATACTACAGACCCCAAGATAGCAACCAGAATTTCTTTAAAACAATAAAGAACCACTTTCATATGTAAAGTAGAACTCCTGTAATTTTTCTTGTGATTTTGAGTGCACCCATATAAAAAAGTTTAAACGTGGTGTGTGGGTGTGGGTTGGTGGGTGGGTGGGTGTGTAGTGATTTGGGCACAATATGAATTATGTACTACACGTTTATGCCATTTGATAGTTCAACAAAGTGGTTCAAGACTCCAGAATGCCAGATGAGGTATTCATGGGAGTTTCCAACTGCGACACACACCCATTAGTCAATGCAGCCTTGAGAGCACAGGGTCGAAATCACCTACTTAACATTAAACATCCACCAGTCCCCGAAATAACTAAAACAGCATTAATCATAACTCTAAGTTTTCCTACCTGTAATATCTGAATTATTAAAGCTATAATGAGGTTTATTTAAAAAAATAGAATATTGCTTCAAATTAAATGTACTATAATCAAAACATTTTAGAAATGAACCAATTTCAAAGTAATAGAAAGGACATAGCAAATACAGACACATTTAAGAGTCGAGAATGTATTTGTAATGACAATCTTTTGATTCCTAGTGTGGCAATGCTCTTTTCCTATTTAATTTTTACACATAATGGATTATACATTTCCTTTGCTATTTAACATAACATAAAATGCAAATGATTGATGTTTTCGCATTTTACTTTAGAAGCAAAAGGAATATTTGATGCCTGTATTCAAGTCATCCATCAGAAAAGAATATCCTAAAAATCTGTATAAAGAATTGATTATTCTGCTACACTATTAAAAGATACTTGTAACCCTTCCCAGAAGGGTCATTCACTTCACATCATCTTTGCTTCACTGAAATCTTCTACTTGTAGCACTATTTTCCAAAATTCATAAAACATCCCCCAAGGACACATTTACTGGGAAGTAGAAGCAAGACTATTTGAAAAAAGTTCTTACTATTTTTTGATATTCTGGCTTTCTGGGTGCAGGGCGAGACATCTCTCCCAGCAGGAAAAGAGTGATCTTCAGTTCTTTTCTTCGGTCTGTGACTTAGGCATATAACAGTAGTCCTCTCTCCCCGTTTGTCTTAGCAAGTTCCTCCTGGCCTCGGTGCAGGAGCCTTCTCTACTGCCTTTGCTCCTTGTTGAATGGAAGAGAAAACAAACAAACAAACAAAAACCCCACCGAAGTACGTGAACAGCAGCACTGTCTTGTATCTCTGTAACCTGCTACTGATCACTGAACAGCCTCACTTGTAATCCAGGCCCATAAAAGCTCACAGTGTGTGTGAAGTCAGAACAAAAGCACCAAGACACTAAAAACTCTCTGGCCCCAGGGAGTTGATGAGTGGTGTTTTGTTCGAATGCCAAGGCATTGTTTTAAAATCACAAACAGAAACCTTTGCAATCCAAGACAGATTTAACGTTAGCATTATTCACTTGGTATTGATTGTTCTATGCGTTACAGAGACAGGATCAGCAATCCTTGGGCAAGAAATCCTGAGTTTAAACCTCATCAACAAATGAGTTTTGCGTTGTCCCCAGAGCACTTCCTGCCCCCATCATGTGTGTTTACGGCATTGAAAAGATAACTTTTCCTAATGGCAATCAGCAATTTTAAAGGAGGCATAAAGCTGATACTTTCTTACAGCACTGTTGCTCAGAATGGGTGCTCTGTAGTTTAATAATGTATAATGATTCTGGCAGAGAGAGCAAGCCCTTGGCTTTCTTTTGATAGTTCCTGAGCTATTGGAGGCTCTCTTTATTTATGCAAAAGTACACATATTTAAAGTTCAAATAAGAACTCTCATCGTGACAAATGCAATCAGGGTGCGTGAGTCCAAAGCCGTTCCAGGAATAGACATGGAAAACTCAGTTGAGAAGGCGGCCTTCTGCTTCTTCCGTCTTGAGACAATTAGTCCTCTTGGTTCCTACACACTCTTACTGCAAGGTGAAGATGGGTGAGCAATTTGAAGGAGAGTGTGGCACAGTTGAAAGAGCCCAGGATGGTTGACAAGGCTCCGATGTAGTTGCTGTTCTCCTCATTACTGGCTATGTGGCCTTGGACAAGCCACTTTATTGCTCCATGGCTCAGTTTCCACATCTGTGAAATGGTAATACCTACCTCACAGAATAATTTGGCTATCAAAGAGATGGTATGCGCCGTAAAACGTATTATAATGCACCGTATAAAAACTAATTACTGCAGGCTCTTCTTAGAGGTGAATATATGGGTTGGAATTCTACACCACGAGAAGTAGTGCCACACTGTTTATGATCTATGAAACCACGGTCTCTGGGAAATCAGTAATACTGGGCTTGGGGATTTCTTACGGGCACACTAATAACTTACATTTACCACTTCATAGCTCACACCTTGGTTTTCGCTGTCTATATCATTTTAATTCAGCTACAGCTGGTGAAGTAGTCAGTATGATACTTGGCATGATAAAATGGCAGTAGTCCTTGCCATTTTACAGGATAGGAGTATAAAAATAAAAAGACTGATAAAGCTCTCCGAACTGATCTGGAGAGTAGGGATCAGAACTACATTTGCAGATTCCCAATTATCCCCCCTCCCCGCCCTTGTCTATTGTACACATCTTAACAGAGTCAATAAAACAAATTTTAGAACTAGGTACTAAACAATGTGTGCATTTGACAGCCTGATGCCAGTGAGGGGGTAATTTGGGCTTCAAAGGTAAGAGATCTCCTGGAGAAACAGGACAGGTCTATGCACTTGTAGTGGGGAAAGCAGCACTGCAATCAGCAACCACATGTAACCACGTCTGTGTTGTGGGCATATCAAAGCCACTACAAAGCTTGAGATGGACTGGTACCTTAGAAAAGGTGGCTCCTTCCTCCAGACTGACAAGGCTTTTTGCTAGCCAATGGCCAGACTCAGGACCTGACTGAGGAAGAAGCTGAGTGCCTGACAGGCCCACAGTACACATCACGGGCAAACACAGCCATGGCTACTGCCACATGGACACTGGTCTGCTCTTTTTCAGACTATGACACTCAGAATCATTCATCGTCAGAGTACACCCTGCGTTCCCCAGGCCCCTACTTTTTATGTAAAATCACCCCACTGTTAAACAGGAGAAAACGTGGTTTGGTGCTTCTGAAGGTAAATGACCAATGTGCCCGAGCACTAGAGCAGGGAGGAGGAGAATTGGTTCAAAGTCATGCCCAAGTATTTTATTTCTACTTTTACTAAGAATTGTTAAGCTGGCTAGAATAGAATTTGGAGTAGGGATTGAGAAAGAGGCATTCTTCAGTCTTGTCAAATATACCCAGCTGTCAATCACCACAAGTAAACAGTATCTTGGACCACACCTCTATCCCAGCTCTTTGGGAGGCAGCTGGGCAATTGAATAAAGACTTGGGAAGATCCTAAGAGAAGACAACAGGGACCTCAGCTACCAAAGGACTTCTATGGAGTCCTGGTTCTTCTTTTACTAGGACGTAAGGAGATGGTTCAATGGGTAACAGTGTAGAAGCAAGAGGACTTGAGTTTAGATCCCCAGCATCCTTCTAAAAAAGCAGGTGAAGCTACATGTCCTTAGAACCCCAGCATTGGCAGGCCGAGACAGGCAGATTCTGTGAGCTCATGGTCAGTCACCCTAGTGGAAACAATGAAATCCAGTTCAGTGAAAGTAAGAAGTGACAGAGGAAGACACCAATGTCTTCCCCTGGCCTCAGCATGTATGTATGTGTGTATGTATGTATGTATGTATGTATGTGCATGAATACATACACACACAAACCACACTCCTTTTACTTCAAGCTGATCTTTGGGCTTATTTTAACCTGATTGTCTTATATAAAATTAATTTATGATTTGTTCTGTGACCCCCACCCGCTGAGGATAGCTGCAATTTTCTTGGGCATACCCACAGTTGTGTTCAATGCGAGAGATTGTGAAACGGGGTACCTGTGGGTTGTATACATGTGAAAGCGACGTGAGGGACAGACAAACAGCAAACTAACTTTGGGATTCATTTTTATCAAAGTAAACGATAAAGAAAACTGCAATTAAGAAATTTGCAGGAGAATGCTTAAATTGGAATATATAATACTAAGTGAGGCACTTGGGCTCAGAACGACAAGCATGTTCCCTCTCTAGTGGGTTCTAGCTTCGAATTTTGATACATGTGTATTTATGAGCAAAGGTGTGTGTGGTCAGCAGAGGCATGGGCAGGGTATTAGGACACACACGACATTAAAGCGAAAGGTAGAATACGGGGACAGAAAAGCTTAAATATGTGGAGTGGGGAGGGGCAAGTGGAGTGTTCACCCAAATCTAGCACATGTGGCTATGTCATAAGCAAATCCTTACAGATTTGCTTTAATGAACCCATTACTCCAGGAGGGTTCAACCTATGCTCTCGTCCTTTGCAGCTCCCAGAAGGAAAGCTCTATAATTCTCTTGCCCATTTCCTCATATACCAGATACTATAATGAATGGATTTTAAAATATGAGATAATAAACACAAAGAAGAATATGGTACGTGTAATTATTGCTATATATATAATATATATTATATATATGTGTGTGTGTGTGTGTGTGTGTGTGTGTGTGTGTTTGTTATATACTGCTATATATGCTTCGAGCTGAACCAGCTTAAATGTCCGGGAATCTCTTAGACTCTATCTTCCTTTATCGCTCTGTGGACTTTGGTATTTATCACTGATATGCATGTTTTAAAGTTCCACACATGTTGCTTACCCATACAGAATATGTAATAGCGCTTGCAACTTTACATTGTAGTGGTGCCATACAGCTCACACCTCATGGCCAGAACTTCTTCCACAAGGTTGTTTGTTGGTGTTTGTCCACAGTGATACCTGCCATTGTAGATGATTTATTGATACAGATTAACATCAGGTCAGAAAAATCTTCTATAAAGAACCAGAGAGTAAGTTAAGTTATGCAGTCACACAGGTTCTGTAATGATAACTCCTTACTGCTGTCATGACAAAAGCAGCCATCCCCAAGCAAACACAGCTATTTTCCAATAAAACTTTACTAATAAGCACTGACATTTGAACTTAATTTAATTTTCATGTCTCATATGATTTTAATTTTTCAACCATTTTAAAATGCAAAAGTCATTCTTAACTCCTAAGCCAGATAAAACAAGCAGTGAACAATCTGGCTCCTACACCATCCTTTACTCACCCCACCACTATGGTATATCGTTGTCGTGGCTTCGGAATTCATTTCCTTATTATTGAATGCCAATACCGAGAGTTCCTTGGTGACCCCCTGCATCACCCACACAATTTAGAGAGAAATGATTTGTGAGATTTACAAAATGAAATATTTATCCTCTATTTTTAGGTCAAAGAATATCACATATCTTTAACAATCTGACTTAGGCAAAACCTTCTAAATTTATTTTTTTCAATCTTTTAACTACTTTTGCTTATTTGATCAACTCACTTGTTAGTATCACATTAAAAGTCTTTCTGTGAAAGAATTCTTCCTTATTATTTGGCCAGATCTTCCTTTTATATATTTTAGAGTTATGCAACCATGGATGTACAAATTGAGATTTTCATATCTTTGTGATGTATTGTTTTAATGATGATGGAGTGTACAGTTAGCCAGTCTTGCTGGCTCCTGATTCTGTTACTCGCAGTGAACCGTGATCCCATGTCTTTGCTTTCACACTTTGTGTGTGGTAGTTTTGGGAGTGTCACTTGTAAGCAGCATGGCATGGGCAGGTTTAAACCAGTTCTGGTGCGGTGGATAAAGACATGTCCCAGGCTACCTGGGTCCTAGTCTTGACTCCTCCATTATCTGTGTGTAGTGCTAGGCAAGTTCTTTAATCTTGTCATATCTCAACACTGGACTGTTGAGGAGATTCAGTGTTCTGAACATAATGCCTAGCAGAGAGTAAGCAATCATGGATAGCTATTGAAAATATTTTATTGTTATTATTGATGTACCTGGTCTCATTTATATTGTGGTTTGTCTTTTCTCATTATCACTTTTTGTTTTTGTTTACTCTCTCCTTTCCTATAAAGATTTTCCTTTTATTCCCTCTATGTCTTTTTTTAAAGATTTATTTATTTATTATGTATACAGTACTCTGTCTACATGTATGCCTGAACACCAGAAGAGGACACCAAATATCATTACAGATGGCTGTGAGCCACCATGTGGATGCTGGAAATTGAACTCAGGACTTCTGGAAGAGCAGTCAGTGCTCTTAAACTTTGAGCCATCTCTCCAGTCCTCCTCTATGTCTTAAATGGTCTAAAGATGGTATATCTTGTCTTTCAGTGATCACAATTTAAATGTTTATGCTTTATTAAGACATATTTGATATATAGTTTGATAAGTATAGAGATCATTTTTAGTCAATGTAGTTAACATTGCTATCACCCTGTCCTATGTTTATCTATTTGGTACCCATTAATTACAGGGCCAAATAATAAGCTATTTGTATTTCCCCAGTGAGCCAGAGGTCAAATGCCAGAGCCATCACCTTATCGAATGCTCACAAATTGAATTAATATTCTTCTGCCCTAATCAACCCTTGCCAGGCTGTAGATATATAGGGGTAATCTCTATACCCCAAAGTCACTAGATTTATTTAAAAACCAAACTTAAGTGTTCCCTGCCCTGCCTTATCTTCTCCACAGTTACCCCAGTAAAGGTTCTGGTCTAGGCTTTCTCTTCCTTCTCCCACCTTCTGACCCAGGCTGCTACTTCCTGGTGTGACCTTGTTTGGAATTCCCTGGCCTACTTTCCTGGGAAAAGAAAAAGTCTTTTGATAGTGTTGGCATTTCTTCTACAAATCTGAACACTGAGGTAGAAATGTATACTTCCCAAAGGTTTTCTCATGGCTCTTCACCTCTCTTCATATTCCTCCTTCCCCACTCTCCCAGAAACACACGACCACGTTCTGTTGGCATACATTCGTCTTTCTAGAGTTCATTTTCTTGTTGCTTAGAGACAGAGTCTCTCCATGTAGTCCTGGCTGTCCGGAACTTACTATGCAGACCAGGCTGTGTTCTACTGCCTCTGCCTCCCAAGTACTGGAATTCAAGCCTGTGGCTCATGCCTAGTTATATTTTCTATATTATGTGTCCTCATATACTTTTTGACTGTGTTGTTTATCCTTCTGTGTTGCACCTTGAACTTCTCATTATACTGTCTCATTTTACTAAAGATATGCTTCACCACATCCACCCTAGAGTCTGAGAAAAAAAGGATATCATCGAAGTAAGTTTGCAATTTAACTTTTAAATCATCATATGGCAATATTCTGTCGACAAACATATTTGTTTAGGAAAGGCTTTGTTATGCCTGGCCCCCTTTCTTTTACACAACATTTTGGGACCACCTTGAGATTTTGGATTTCTCTAGTACTTGTCAGTTTCTGTTTCTCTGTGTTTTGTGATGCTTTGGCTATAGAATCTATTACTGACTTAAGAGTGCCTCTGTTTCGCTTCCTAGGCTGTGTTGGCTGATACTTAACATTTCGTATTGTACAAAGTGGTGAATAGCAAGATGGAGGGTGTATGTCTGGCAAGTATGCTATGGTCATCCATGAAGGGACACTGAAAAGTTCTCTTTTTACACAGAACTGAGGTCCCTCCTCTTCCTCCCAGCTACTATCTGGTATGAATTTATTAGCTCAGGATTTACAAAGAACATGAGAAGAGTCTAGGAATCCTTTAAACACATAGGGATGTTGGGTCACTTGACACAACCAGTCAAACCAGTGCGATCCTATAAAATGGTCACAGCTGGTGGAGTCCAGAGATCAGAAAGGGCCACGAGCTAGCTGGGTCAGAGCTTTCGCGATGAGGCCAACTCTCAATTGTCTTCTCTCGTCTCTACAGAGAAGCGGGACGTGCACCAATTCTTTGATTGCAGTCTTGACTATTTGTGTGCAACAACTGTTCTCCTCTTACACATTCAGTTGTCCGTGTCAAGCCGGGAAGAACTTCTACTACGGTTCGGCTTTTCTCCTGGTTCCTTCCCTGATTCTTCTGATTGTTGGCTATGCTCTCAGAGGCCAAATGTGGACGGTCGCCAGCGAATACTGCTGCTGCAGCTGTGCCCCTCCGTACCGGAGAAGCAGCCCTCTGGAGAGGAGGCTGGCCTGCCTCATGTTCTTCAACATCACTGGGAGGGCGCTGGTTGCTCCACTGACGTGGCTGACAGTGACCCTGATGACAGGCACCTACTATGAATGTGCGGCAAGTGAGTTTGCCTCTGTGGACCAGTACCCAATGTTCGCTAATGTCACTGCCAGCAAACGGGATGAGATCCTAGCTGGGTTTCCATGCTACACGTCGGCTCCTTCTGATGTGATTCCAGTAAGAGACGAAGTGGCTCTTCTCCACAGATACCAGTCACAGGTGAGTTTATGACTTTCTTTTCTGTGGTACTATCCCAAACCTATATGGTTCCTATGAAGATATCCTGTGTCTGCTGTTTCTCCTATTATCTGATTACACCGCACACGCTAGATCCCATGCATCTGAATGAATTCCACTGGGCAGCTACACACACAGAGTTAAGCTGTTGGAAGTCAGTAGGCCAGCTTCACTCCCCTTGCTTTACCACTCATGACTGGCACGTTGTTTATTAAGTTGTACCAACTTTCCTCAGCTTTGAAGGAAAGCTAAGAGAATATGTCACCTAAATGGTTGTGAATAAGAAAATTAACTAACACATTTAAAGAGCTCATGACTGTGTCCAGTCTGTTAAAATAATGAATGTTAGAATTATTATATTATCATAAGTATTATCAGAATAGAGCCATATTACTAAATCTCATTTTTATGTTTCTTTTTCACATTTGTGTTCTTCTATATTTAAAATCTCTTCTGAAATTATAGAAAGCTCAATTATATATTTAAAATTTCCAATGGTGGCTCTAAATATAATGTTCATGGACAAATTAGTGGCAGAGAATGGGATGGGTAGGAGGAAGACATGAACCTGGAATACTTTTAGGTTAAATTTCAGAAGTGCAATTTTTCATTTTGGCAAGACAAAGTCATCAGTTTCTCCGAAGACTGAGTTAAAATGTATTTTCAAAGCACTGAAATGTCATAAAAGCTTCTTCCATCTTAAGGTACTAATTGCAAAGGCTTCCCTGGCTTTTGACCTGCTCTCCTTCAGCTATTTTGATATTGTTCTGTTAGAAAAATTACTACCAAGACACAGAATCCTGAAATACTGCAATAATACTCAAATGGAGAAAAAGAAAAGAAAATTCCCACTAAGATATACTCTGTCACAATTGGGTTTGGGGTTTTCTTTTCTGTTGTTTGTTTGTTTCATTTTGACTAGTCATAAAACCAGCTCAGCCAGAGGACCTTGGGAAAGCTTGTAGGAGAAAGACCAGACACAGAGGACATTTGGAGTGCCCACCTGTGGCTGTGTGCTGTTGGCATTCCTAAAAGTCTGTCTTCACTTTACCTTCCAGTTGCCAAATGTTTTTTAAAGAATGGTACAGAAGGGAACAAAATGATTCTAAGACAAAAGGAAGGAAGAAAGGAAGAAAGAAAGAAAGAAAGAAAGAAAGGAAGAAAGAAAGAAAGAAAAAAGTCAGATACTGCCAGTGCCAGTGGTGGTACACTGCCTTTAATCCCAGCACTTGGGAGGCAGAGGCAGGGGGATTGCAGTGAGTTCGAGGCCAGTCTGATCTACAAAGCTAGTTTCAGGACAGTTAGGGATTTATACAGAGAAACCCTGTCTCAAAAATAAATAAATAAATAAAAATATAAAAATAAAAAGCAGATATTAAGTTGTCACAAATAAAGCTAGTTCATTTAAACAAAGAAAATAATAAGGAACTTTAAAGTAGAGCTTATAGTTCTTTGCTGACTCTTTGACTGCAAAGATAAGAGGAATGCAGGGAGATAAGTCTAGGAGGACTTGGTAGCAGGTTGTTGAGGACAGCATGGGAGGCTGCCATTAGTGTCTCTGACAGCATCATTATCAAATACTAATTAAGCCCCCAACAAACGTGTAGGTCTGTACCTAATGATTGAGAAGCAAAATTGGGTCCCAGCAAAGGACAAGGCTTTAGCATTTTATATAAGGTTGATTGGTGGTTTATAGCGTCTATCACTTCGAGGGCAGTACTTAGAACCCAACCCACATGAAAAGGTCAAATTCCTCTGCAATACGAAGGCTGTGCTGTTCTCCCATCACAGCTATTTCCACATCAAATGACCATCACTGTATATTATATATTAAAAACTGCGAGCAAAGACCCACATTTTAGTCCTGAGGTTTGCAGGACTCCCTCGTACCATGACTGTTTCTTGAATATGTGCTGTATTGATTGATGTCTGTGCCTTCTAATTATCTTCCTACTAATTATGTGTAGATGCTGGGCTGGATTTTGATCATTTTGGCAACCATTGCTTTTCTGGTCTCCAAGTGTCTGGGAAGATGCTGCTCCCCCCTTACCTCTATGCAGCATCACTACTGGTCCAACCACCTCCAGAGTGAGAGAGCGCTCTTTGAACAAGCCGCAGAGGAACACTCGCGACTTCTCATCAGACATCGCATCAAGAAAGTGTTTGGTTTCATTCCTGGGAGTGAAGACATCAAACATATTCGCATTCCTTCATGCCAGGACTGGAGAGATATTTCCATACCCAATATTCTATGTGTGGGTGACACCACACAGGGTCCCTATAGCTTCCTCGGAGAAAGGGTGGTTGAGGAAAATGAGGAAGACAGACAAGAAGGTATTGAACTGAAGCCTTGATAGCTGTATCTTTCAAAATTCAGGGTGCTTGATTTCCTGATGCTAGGGTTCCGGTGCAAACTCTTCCTTTTCTATCTCTCTGGCACTGTTTCAGAAGTCCACCCAAAATCTTAACTCCAAAATCAATTTATAGAGAGACAACCTCCCATTCTTATGAAACGTCAACATGGGGTCATGATGGCTATTGTGTCATGTTGGTCCATTTTAAATGGGAACGGAATTTGAAGTCACGGTCAAATAGACATTTAGCTCTGTTAGTGGGTACCCGTGTGAAAATCAGGCTGAGTGGTATTTTGCCACACTCCCATATTAGTAACCTCAAAGAGTTGTTGAGAAGATTGAAAGTGATGAAACTATGCCTTCCATTCAATGAACGCAAACCAAAATCGTTTTCCTCCTTCTGCTCTGAATTCTGTCTTCTTTCACTGTCTTTTCTCATTCTAATCTTTGGTTTTCTCCATGTCTTCATTTAAATGAAACATTTTATTGCCTTTTCCTCTTTTCTCGAATCTGAATGTGTAGCCTGCTAGAGGGGAAGGTAGAATAAAATGGCCTCGAAGAACTGCTTAGCGCTCCAGATCCAGGGTATCCAATGCCTCTGTCCTCCGCAGCACCGCTTCACAGGACCGCAACCCCAGAGAGACGCACACATGTACACAACTCTAAAAATAAAGAAATTGAGCCTGAGGAGGGCACCAGTTTTCCCTGCCAGGCATTGCTAGCTGTAAGCTTCAACATCTGACATCGTCTAGCATATCTTGATTAGGTTTGCTTCAGACCTGACTTCTGCCATGTTCGCTAAAGCACCCTGGTCACCGGACCACGAAAAGATCTGAAAGCTTTGGTTTATTTTTGTCTTTAGTCAAAATGACTTTTGATTGCCAGAGAACCAACTGCCAAAGGTCAACTTTACTCTCAAGGAGATCAAATAACTGTATTACTTAGAATGCCACCAATTTCTTTCTTTATTTCGTTGTTTTTTGTTTTTAATTTTTTTCAGACAGAGTTTCTCTGTGTAACAACCCTAGCTGTCTTGAAACTCACTTTGTAGACCAGGCTGGCCTTGAACTCACAGACAACTGCCTGCCTCTGCATCCCTAGTGCTGGGAACAAAATCACAATTAATAAAAACTCAGAGAGTGAAATTGGGGTTCAACCTGAGGTCCAAAAAACAAAGAAGCCAGTCACTGGCTTTTACCTCAATCTCAGTCTGAAAATGGCAGTCCTGCCTCCAGGAATCTAGGGATGAGACTTTGACTGAGAGCTGTCTCCTCCCATTTTAATCCTCTCTAGAGCTGGGATTAAAGACATGCACCACTACCACCTGGTTTCTATGGCAAGCTAATGTGTCTACTGAGATTAAAAGTGTGTGTTATTTCTGCCTGGTTTATAAGGCTGGTCAGTGTGGCTATTTTACTTTTCCTGATCCTCAGACAAGTTTTATTTATTAAAATACAATTGAAATGCCATTTCAGGGATTAAAGACATGCACTACGACTGCCCAGCCACCACCAATTTCTTAATAGTAATTTTGTACTAGTAATGGGGGATTACATTTTATGTAAAATTCTGGGTACTTTGGCTTGATAGAGAATTTCTGAGAAAACAAAACCTTTTCAGGAATTTCCCCAATAGAAGATTGTTGAGTATAACACTGGGCTAGGTCAGGAGACTGCCCTGTCCTCACCACTAACCACTATCAACTTTAGCAAAGGCAAACCATCTCTCTGGGAGCCTATCTCTGACTTATAAAGAGGGAATAACAAATCCTTCTGCAAGGCAAAGGAGCTGAACCAAATGAACTACTGAAGTCCCTTCCTAATCTGATAAAAAGTTTATGTTTATTGTTATACAGGTTAATTAATGTGTATAGAGTGTTCTAGAATGACCAAGTTGACTGTTTAGCATTCTGGAAGAACATCTACTAGAATTCTATGTTTGAGAGAGCATTGAGAGTGACTTATTTCAGGTGGTCTTGGAAAGCTAACTCTACCTTACCAACTAACTGTGTACTCAGCGATGATACAATGTTACATAGGCAATTTTGAAAACAAAGACAATGTATGTTGTAGAAGGTCATTCAGGTTCCCTCTAATACTGGAGTAGTAAATATAGAAAACATTATTTTATTCTCAACATTCTATCAAAGCTCTAGATTTCTCAGTCTCCATAGCTACAAGAGTTTTTGAATGACTAGAAAATGAATCATTATCACTATACTCAGAAATGGTCTATTCGTTTTCAGGACCTTTACCATAAAAAGGGACTCTAATAAGGTTTTCAATTAACAGCACAACCAAAGAATGTATGAAGTTAGAATGTTATATCACCAGTAATATTTACAGTTGCCTATAACAACACAAGGAATCAGCCTGTGCTGGCTTCTGAATGCCTTTCTACATCACACTCAGCGCATAGAAAGTCCACCTTCTGAGCCAGTTCATCACGACCATGGCTTTTTGGTAAAGGAGATGGAAAAAAAACTTCATCCACACAGTTCCAAAATTCTTAGCATCTATATGAACATTTGAAGAATAGTATATATTCTTGGGATTTCATTGCTTTGTGTATCATGCATTTTAAGTAAAACAAATTTACCCCCCATGCCACACACACAACACACACGCTTTTGGTGTACTCTTTTGTTCCATAACTAGTTAGGTAAAAGTTTTTTCATTAAGAACATGGCACTTCCTCCCCTTTTTGCTTAATGGATTTATGTAATTATAAAACATATAATTAAGATTAATTATGTGTGCTAACCCCTACCTAGTGTTTTGCTGCCAAGCGCTTCTGACTTGGCAGAGAGAGACTTGCTGACTTGGGCTTTGCCAACCCCACTTCTCCACCAGGATTCGGACCACCTCCTTCCCAAAGCTTAACTATGGCGGATTCTGACTCCTTTACGTTATCCACTCTGATTTGTTCAGAACTTACTTACACATTGCCATTCTCCTTGTTTCTGTGCTCATTTCCAGCTGTACTTGTGTTGAAATATTCAAATTAATAATTGTAACTAGAAACAGCAATGTGGGGGCTCAATGTTGAGGAGTTGTATTCTGCTCCCAACACCTGTGTGTGGTAGTTTATAACCACATGTAACTCTAGACCCAGGGGACCCATCACTGTCTTCTGCTCTCCTCGGGCTACTGCACATAAATGACCCATATGTGCCTGTGTATACACACACACACACACTAAAAAAAAAAAAAGAAACATCTCTGAGAATTCGCTGTTCCTTTGCCTTAGTTTGTACTAAAAAGGCAAGCACATTAACATCCAGATTTTAAAATGACCAATTAAAGACCTTCTGAATGCAATATATATATATATTTGTTATCTCAAAAAATACCAGGTATAGACATATACTTTTAGTTTCAAAATGCAGTATACCAAAATTTAGATATGATCCAGAAAGATCAGAGTGGCAGTCCTGGAGAATGACAGATTTAAGGCTGGTTATGTGAGCTGGAAGGTAGTCTGGATGGTGTCGAGTCCACCAATGTTACTTCTGAACAGAACAATGAATGGCGGCTCTAGGCAGGCAAACCACATTGTTCTTGGTCTACATCATTTGTCTGTGCTAAGCTCAAGACTGATAAAGTCTCTCTAAGGTCAGTCTACAAGGAGACCACATACCCTGATGTATGGTTTCCTCTGCTGCCATCTAGTGGTTTAGACGATCATGTGCATCTATCTGTAGTGAGTGACTGCAGTACAAATGAAGCATTAAAAAAAGAACTCTTGAAAAAAAAGAAAGAGAAAAAAAACTTTGGCTGTGGGATAAAAAGAACTCTGAAGAGCTTCAAAATTTGAAACACTTAAAACAGCAGCATGATGGATTAGGAATGCTTGACCAGGAAATCTACACAAATATTCCCAACCTGAAAACAAAACAAAACACTTCTGGTCTCAAGAATTTGGAATAACTGATGGCCGGAGATGAAAGTAGCTCACGGCACTCACCATGTGCCAGCGACTTATAAATCTGGCAAATAGGGTCGCATATTAGGAAGCAGCTTCACAAAATGATATCAAATAATGTGAGGGTCGGCAGGTTGTTTTTTAAGTCTTACACAAACAGAGCACTTTCCTATATATACAATTATTTTACCAGGTCACAAGTAATGCATCCGTCTTCCGAATCCAGCCAGCTTGACACTCACAAAATAACCGAAGTGTTAATCTAATTAATCTTTATCAATAAAAAACGGGGGTCAAATATTGGGGTAAGAACCTGAAAGATCAGAGAACAGGGAGCAGCCACCACTTGCTTCCTACCTCTTCCGTTCTCCATTCAAAATGGCCGAGATCCTCTCTCAGCCCCGCCTTTCTACTTCCTGTCTCCTCTCTGTCTACAATCCTGCAAACCTCTAAGGTCAGCTAGTGGCTTGCTCCACCCTCTGACTCCAAGAAAGCTTTATTTGTCAGAACACAAACAAAATATCACACAACAAATAACTTCTGCTGTTTTATTAATGAAACCATTGGGGCATGCTGAGGCCGAGTACTGAAGGGCACATCATTTTATGTGGGGAAGACAGAGTGCAGGCCCAGCGGCCCAACTTCCCATCCTGCATTCCACAGTGCTGAGCTGTGCAGCAAGAGACACAGCTCATTGGTCTTCTCAAGTCTTGTAGGTGTTCCCAGTCACCTCATACTCACCCTTGGCTCCAAGAAGATGATATGTCAGATTTGAGTCCCTTATTTCTGCCTAAACCTCATCTTCATACCTAAAGGAGCACTGCCAAGGCACTGTGGGTCCCCCCCCCCCCCAAAGTGACTGGAGACTCAGTTTGAACTACATAGTAGCCAGCAACAATGATTCTACCATTCTCGGTAATCACAAGCCTGACAGAGTGTCTCAGGCTCTCTCTTCTCTTTCATGAAGGACCCAGTCGGAAGAGCACTAGGATCTGGTTTGTTTTCAGGAGGCCATGTTTATTAAGGGTTAAAACAGAGGTCTGGAAAGCACAGTCTCAATTTCTCTGGAACCTCAA